AAAGAAAGAAAGAAAAATGGCTAAAAATTTTCCGGATTTGTCAGAAACTGTAAGCCCACAGATACAAGAAGTTCAATGAACTCTAAGCAGTGGAGAAATTGTAACCTTCATACATTGCTATGAAAATTTAAAATGGTATCGCTGCTATGGGCAAATTTGGCAGTTCCTCAAAAAGTTAAACATAGAGTTACCATATGACCCAACAATTCCACTTCTAGGTTACAAACCCAAAGGAACTGAAATCATATGCTACCTAAAAAGTTTCACACAAATGTTCATAGCAGCATTATTCATAATAACAAAGAACTACAAACAACCCAAATGTCCATCCACTGATGAAGGGATAAACAAAATGTGGTACTGAGACAATGGAGTATTATTTGGCCACCAAAAGAAATAAAGTACTGATTATGCTATGACATGGAAGAATCTTGAAAACATTATAGTAAGTGAAAGGAGTCACTAAGGACCACATATTGTATGATTCCATTTGTATAAAATGTCCAGGGGAGACAAATCTGTTTAGACAGGAAGTAGATTAGTGTTGCCAAAGCCAGAGGGGGAGGGGAATGGGGAGTGACTGCTGAAAGGTGTGAGGTTTCTTTTTTAGGGGTGATGAAATGTTCTGGAATTAGATAGTGATGACAGTTGCACAACTTTGTGAATATACTAAAAAACACTGAAAATAAAAATTCGGAATTTTTAAAAAATAAAAAACACTGAATTGTACACTTTAAAGTAGTGAATCTTAAGGCATGTAAAGTATATCTCAATAATAAGAGCCCAACAATAAGAATACAAATAACCCAACTTAAAATTACCAATTTTAAAGTGGGCAAAAGATTTGAACAAACACTTCACCAAAAAAGATAAATAAATGGCAAGCAAGAGTTGAAAAGATGCTCATTAGTCATTAGGGAAGTGCAAATTAAAACCACAATGAGATGTCACTATACATCTTTTAGAATGTCTTGAGTTAAAAAGGCCATACAACAAAGTAAGTAGAACTATTCCAAATATTGGCTTGATTCTGAAACAACTGGAACTCTCACACACTACTAGTGGGAATGTAAAATAATTCAAGCTAGTTTTACTTTGGAAACTAGTTTGGCAGCTTCATAAAAAGTTAAAATTCATTTACCATATGACCCAGCCATTCCACAACAAAATATCTACCCAAGAGAAATGAAAGCATATGTCCATACAAAGACACACACATGAATGTTCATAACAGCTTTATTTGTAATAGCGCCCCAAACTGTAAACAACCCAAATGTCCATAAACAGGAAGAACAAATTGGGTCCATATAGCGGAATAGCATTCAACAAAAAAAAGGAATGAAGAATTGATACATACAACATGGATGAGTTGCAAAATAATTACGATGAATGAAAGAAGACAAACAGAAGGAAAAGAAATATATACTGTTAAGATTCCATTTCATAGAATTTTTTAAATGCATAAACTAGAGTGACAGAAAGCAAAAGAGGCTGGGCACAGTGGCTCATGTCTGTAATCTCAGCACTTTGGGAGGCCAAGGTGGGCAGATCACTTGAGGTCAGGAGTTTGAGACCAGCCTGGCCAACATGGTGAAACCCCGTCTCTACTAAAAATCCAAACAAAATTAGCCAGGTGTGGTGGCACAGGCCTGTAATCCTAGCTTCTCAGGAGGCTGAGGTGGGAGGATCACTTGAACCCAGGAGGTGGAAGTTGTGTTGAGCTGAGATCAAGCCAGTGTACTACCGGCTGAGTGACAGAGCGAGACTCGAAAGAAAAATAAAAAGAAAGAAAGAAAGCAAAAGAGAAAAAGTAAGAGAGAAAGAAAATGAGAAAGAAAGAAAATCAATGGTGAGGGGATGTGAGGGACAGAGGGATTACAAACGGACAGGATATTAAGGCAGCTTTGGGAGTACTGAATATCTTCACCATCTTGATTGTGGTGATGGTTTCGTGTGTATACATGTCAAAACTTACCAAGTTTGTATACTTATTTATTTGAGACAGAGTCTTATTCTGTCACCCAGGTAGGGATACAGTGGTGCAATCACAGCTCACTGAAACCTCAAACTCCTGGGGTCAAGTGATCCTCCTGCCTCAGCCTCTCAAAGAGCTGGGACTGTAGGTATATGCTACCACATCTGGCTTTTTTTGTTTGTTCATTTGTGGAGACAGGGTCTCAGTACATTGCCCTGCCTGGTCTGGAACTCCTGGGCTCAAGCACTTCCCACGTCAGCCTCCCAAGTGCAGGGATTACAGGCATAAGCCACAGTGCCAGGCAGCACACTTTAAATATATGCAGTTTACTGTATATCAATTATATCTTAATAAAGCTGTTTAGAAAAAAGAAACCACAACCTAAAAACAATATAACTGGCTGAGTGCAAGGGCTCACAGCCATAATCCCAGCATTCTGGAAGGCCAAGGTTGGGGGGATTGCTTGAGCTGAAGAGTTGGGGACCAGCCTAGGAAACACAGTGAGATCCCATTTCTACAGAAAATACAAAAATTAGCCAGGCATGGTGGTGTGCGCCTGTAGTTCCAGCTACTAGGGAGTGGAAGGATGGCTTGATTCTAGGAGGCGAAGGTTGCAGTGAGTCATGATCATGCCACTGCGCTCCCACTTAGGCAACATAGCAAGACCCTGTCTCAATAACAAATATAAATAAATATATACATCATATCAAAATTTGGGTGATACAGCTAAGGCAGTACTTCAAGAGAAACTTACAGCTATGTTACATTTAAAATGGTATATACTCCATGATCTATGATTCCACCTTAAGATATTAGAAAAAGAAACAGCAAAGTGAATATACAAAGTTAGTAAAGTGAAGGGAATAAACAGAATAAAATAAAAACAAAAAATAGAAAAAAACAACATGTTTAGCATAAGCCACTTCCCACTGCAACGACCGAGGTAAAACAAATCTCCAAATCCCACACTATTTGTTATACCTCCATAAAACAAAGGGGCTTGGGCTCCAACCATTCTTTTGAGCTCTTGAGCTTGGGAAGTGTGCCGGTTACCAGATCATCACTGTCTACTTTTTTCATTGTGGTCACAAACAACAGGGCCCCTAGAAAAACTAAAAATCAGCTTATTTAGTATTGCAAATTTCAGTCATTGAGTTTTCCCTTCTATTTAATAACACCTGTGTCTTTGCACACACGCGAAATGGATTTTGAACACAAACCATCCAATTTCCCTAACAAGAGGGCTTCACCACAGGCTCTAGAGGACGGCTTCAGAACCTGCCTCCTTTGTAAGCTGGCGAGATGCTCTCAGAATCTCCCTGCTCCTTGGAATGAATTCCCACGTCCCTCTCCAAGGCAGCCCATTCCAGCCAGTGTGGCAGCTTCAGCCTGGCCTCTGGGAGCCCCTTTGCAGGACTTTTCTGACTTTGGTGGCCTTGAGTGGGGAGAGCTGCAATTTTCTGGCTACAGAACACAGGCTGAGCTGCTTGGAGAAGCAAGGGAGGGGTTTTCGGTGAAAATCTGCGAGTCTTCGGGCTCTGCGAGGCCCGAAGTCCTCCCCGAGGCCGGGGCGCGACGGGGAGGTCGTCGGGGTCCGCACCCGCTCTTGCCCACCGCACCCACTCCCGGCCCTTCCTCCCACCAGTACGGTGGGTCGGGCGCCTGCGATCTTCACGCCAGCCCCTGGCAGGGGCCTCCCGCGCGGGCACGTCTTACGCGGGGACCGCCCGGCCTAGCGGGGAGGTCACCGACCGCGACAGGCACCTCTCTGCCCTCCCAAGGCCGGCAGGCCCGCGGCCGTCCTGCGCCACACCCGGGCCCGGCCCGGCGGCCCCGGAGTCGTCCGGCTGAGGCAGGAAGAGAGGCCGCCCGCCTCTGCGGAACGCGCGAACGTTGGCGCCCACTGTCTCCCGGACGCAGCGCCGCGCGGCCCCTCCGCCCTTTCCGCCGCGGGCTCCACAGCCAGTGCGAGCGGGCGGCGCCGGGGCGGCGGAGGAAGACTTCAAAGCAAAAGGGATTGGGCGGCGGCTCTAGCTGGCGGGTCTTGGTTTGCGGAAGGGGCTGAAGTCCCTGCTTCTCCGTGACCCGCGCGCGGCCTGGCCAATCCCGCCGCCGCCACCCATCCCCCCGACCGCGTCCGTTGACCGGCGGGGCCTCGGTCGCTGGCCCCTTGCGGAACACCAGAGAGAGGGGTGGCGTCCGTTCCCTCGAGTCCTCGGTGTCGGGGAATTCACAGCTCACCATCCCCTGCCCCGCCTTCGGTCCTGCTCCGGGGACCAAACCACGGAAAGGCAGTGGCGGGAAAGGGGATCCTCTGCCGGAGGTCCTAATAAGGGGGTCCAAGGCTTGGGGACTTGTGCGAGAAATGTGGGTTTAAGTGCCTTCAAGGTGTCCATTGGGATGTTGATCAGCGTTCATAGTTGGCGCTGATGCAGGTCACCGGGAAGGGAATGTGTGGGTTCGTGGCCACGCATATCTCTTCTAGTCCTGTTTACTTAGCAGGGTAGCTCTCCATCCTCCCTGGGTTTTTTGTTTCTTTTATATTTTATTTTACAGGGTTTTTCTCAGTGTGCAATGTTTGTTTTTAAATCCCGAATGATCCTGAGGTAAAACTGACATGGCCAGAAAATCATGAGGCTATGGTTTTCCAAACTCAGCTTCATAACCTACTCTGTGAGCTGCGATTTTTCTATGATTCTGTTTTCCTCTTTGGATATTGGTGGGCCCTGAATGATGAACCACCGTTTTCACTCTGTATCTTTTCAAAGTACACTTACTGACCTTAAAACTGTCCGAAGTGTCTTAGGGACATTTGTATTCACATGCCTTTTAAAAGCTAGCCAGAGTCAATAGCTTCAAATGCAGTTTCCCTTTCAGAGTTGAGGGAACATGAGCCACTTGCAAAGCTTATTGTTAGACACCCTCTTGGGAACCAAGCATGTGGATAGTGCAGCCCTCATCAAAATCCAGGAGCAGAGCCTGTTTGTGGCATCACCAGGTTTTAATGTAAGAAAAAAGTTTGGACATAAGACTTCTGATTTACTATTTGTGTTCTTCCAAAACATGAAGAAGACATGACTTTTTTTTTTTTTTTTTTTTTTTTTTTTTTGAGACGGAGTTTCACTAGTTGTGTAGTCTGGAGTGCAATGCAATGGCACAATCTCAGCTCACTGCAACCTCCGCCTCGGGTTCAACCGATTCTAATGCCTCAGCATCCCCAGTAGCTGGGATTGCAGGCATATACCACCAGGCCTGGCTAATTTTTGTATTTTTAGTAGATATGGTGTTTCACCATGTTGGTCAGGCTAGTCTTGAACTCCTGACCTCAGGGTGATCCACCCGCCTCTGCCTCCCAAAGCACTGGGATTACAGGCATGAGCCACAGTGCCTGGCCCAGACATGACTTTTTTTTTTTTCTATGAGACGGAGTTTTGCTCTTGTTACCCAGGCTGGAGTGCAATGGCACAATCTTGACTCACCCCAACCTCTGCCTCCTGGGTTCAAGCGATTCTCCTGCCTCGGCCTCCTGAGTAGCTGGGATTACAGGCATGCACCACCATGCCTGGCTAATTTTGTATTTTTAGTAAAGACGGGATTCTCCATGTTGGTTAGACTGGTCTCAAACTCCTGACCTCAGGTGATCCACCCACCATAGCCTCCCAAAGTGCTGGGATTACAGGCGTGAGCCACCAGCCCCAGACATGAATGTTAAATGAACTTTTTCTGGCCAGGCATGGTGGCTCACGCCTGTAATCCCAACACTGGGAGGCTGAGGAAAGTGGATCACTTGAGGTCAGGAGTTTGAGACCAGCCTGGCCAACATGGTGAAACCCCATGTCTACTAAAAATACAAAAATTAGCCAAGCATGGTGGCACGCATCTGTAGTCTCAGCTACTTGGGAGGCTGAGGCAGGAGATTCGCTTGAACCCAAGTGGTGGAGGTTGCAGTGAGCTGAGATCACACCACTGCATTCCAGCCTGGGTGACAGAGTGAGACTCAGTCAAAACAAAAAAAAGAACTTTTTCTGTAAAGAGCCACATAAATGTTTTAGATTTCTAAGCATCTTAGTCAGTTTAGTATTGCTAAAAGGAATTTAGTATTGCTAAAGGAATACCTGAAGCTGGGTAATTTATAAAGAAAAGAGGTTTATTTGGCTCATGGTTCTACTGGCTGAAAGACTAGTCATTTGTGAAGACCTTAGGCTGCTTCCACTCATAGCAGAGGTGAAGGGGAGCCAGCATATGCAGAGATCAAACGGGGAGAGAAGAAGCAAGAGAGAGCAAGTGGAGAGGTGCCAGCCTCTTTTTAAACAGCCAGCTCTCCTGGAACGAATACAATGAAAACTCACTCACAGCTTCTTCCACCTCACAGGGAGGGCATTAATCTATTCATGAGGGATCTGCCCCCATGAGCCAAACACCTTCCATTAGGTAAACGTTGGGATCAGATTTCAACATGAGATTCAAACTATAGCACAGGGCCATAGAGTCTGTCACAACCACTCAGGTCTGCAGTTGTAAAGAAGAAACAGCCATACATAAAAGAATGAATGTGACTGTGTTCCAATAAAATTTTATATTTATGGATACTGAAGTTTGAATTTCATATAATTTGTAAGTGTCACAAAGTGTTATGCTTCTTTTGATTTTTTTTCCCCCAACCATTTAAAAATGTGAAAACCATTCTTAGCTTACAGGCCATAAAAAACAGGCAGTGGGCTAAATTTGGCTGGCCACCAGCCATAGTTGGCTGACTCCTGTTCTAACCATGTATCCTCCCCAGGTAATGCCCAGCGATGTCCGAACACTGGTGAATGGATTTGCCAAGAACCCTTTGCAAGCCCGAAGAGAAGGATTGTATTTCAAGGAAAAGGATTATAAATGTGTCCGGGCAGATGACTATTCTCTTTATGCCAAAAATGTGAGTGCTCAAGATTTGAAGACAGCTGAGTAAAAGAAAAGAATTTGCCTCCAATTTTCTTTGCCCTGCCTGATCCTCTCTTTAAAACAGATTAAACCCATTAATGTCTTGAGGCGCTGTCTGAGATAGCAGTCTAGTGCCAGGAAGACATATGTGAAAGAAAGTCCTATCAGAGAGCCTGGTTTTGAGAAATGTTCATTGCAGAATCTATTAACTGAGCCTGGCCTGAACTCTTTCCACTATAGTCCAGCCTTCATACTCTACATCCTCCTTTAAAAAAAAGTATAGATAGATAGATAGAGATAGAGATATATAACTTCCACACTTAAAATATCTCTCAGTGGCCGGGCACGGTGGCTCACGCCTATAATCCCAGGACTTGGGAGGCCAAGGTGGGCATATCACCTGAGGACAGGAGTTCAAGACCAGCCTGGCTAACATGGTGAAACCCTGTTTCTACTAAAAATACAAAAAATTAGCCTGGTGTGGTGGCATGCACCTGTAATCCCAGCTACTCCAGAGGCTGAGGCAGGAGAATTGTTTGAACCTGGGAGGCAGAGGTTGCAGTGAGCCGAGATCGTGCTATTGTATTCCAGCTTGGGCAACAAGAGTGAAATTCTATCTCCAAAAAACAACAACGACAACAAACTCTCAGCTCTCTGTTGCTTATAAGGAATGAAGGAGAGGAAAATCATTCATTGAATGTCCTATATTATGAGTTAGATATGCTTCATCCACATTATAAACTAAATAACCTCATTTTACAGATGAGGAAACTGAGGCTTAACATGGTTAAATAACCCTTATTCATGCAACAGAAAAGGGAGGCACTAGAATTCAAACCCAGAGCTGTCCAATTCCAAAATGTACTACCTTTCCATTATATCAGTTGTTCTTTTTTTTTTTTTTTGAGATGGAGTTTCACTCTTGTTGCCCAGGCTAGAGTGTAATGGTGCAATCTCGGTTCACTTCAACCTCTACCTCCTGGGTTCAAGTGATTCTTCTGCCTTAGCTTCCCGAGAAGCTGGGATTCCAGGCACCTGCCACCACGCCTGGCTAATTTTTGTATTTTTAGTAGATACAGCGTTTCACCATGTTTGCCAGGCTGGTCTCAAACTCCCGACCTCAGGCGATCTGCCCACCTCAGCCTCCCAAAGTGCTGGGATTGATTAAAGGCATGAGCCACCACACCTGGTCTACATCAGTTGCTCTCATTGGGATTGGAGTATATGATAATCAGTTGCAGAACTTTTTCAAAATCCATCCACCATTATGATAACAGTCTAAAACTTGTTGAGGAAAGGCAACTAAATTGATGGAAAAGAGTGGACAGTCCAAAAACAGATATATAAATATATGGAAATCAGGAAATGGTGAAAAACATTAGCTGAAACATGACCACTGGTCCTGTGATTAGAACCAACAGCAGCATATTCTCTTTTATTCTTTATCCAGGAGAACACTGGTGTGGTTGTCGTGAAGACTCATCTGTATCTTTTGGTGGCAACTTACACTGAGAGCATGTATCCTAGTGTCTGTGTGGAAGCCACAGAGAAGCTGGGTAAGTCGGCATCCCAGTTCGTGTCTTCATTCCCTTTGTTAGTTGGGTCTTCCGACTACGAGTCACAGAGATTCAACTCAAACCAGCAAGGGCAGAAAGGAGGAATTTATTAGAAGGATGCTAAGGTTATTTACATAACCACTGGAAGGACAGGGTGCGGCTGAGCCATGGGGACAGTAGATTCCAGGGACTGGAACACTGCTAGGACTCTGTCTCTCTGTCTTGATTCTAAATGAGTCAGCTTTGTTCTCATAGAAAACTGTTTCCTTTCCTGGCTGATGTCATGGCTGAGCCTCCCATAATACCACTTAATTTCTCTTAGGACTCTGATTTGGCAATTTTCAGGTCATAGGTTTACCCCTGTATCAGTCAGCTATGTAGGCAGGGCAGGATAGGGGAGGAGGGAGATGGCAGGGTAAAAAGGCAGAGATGCGGCTGCTGGGGGTCTACGCTATGTAAAGAGACATTTTACAGGAAAAGAAATTACTGTGAGCCAGGCAGTCATTTTGTTGGTGTATACTGAATTCCCCCTTCCTGTCCATACATTTTTGAATAAAGATCTCATAGAGAACTAGCTTGGGTATTATATCTTTGAGAATTGATCTTAATAAATGGTAAATTGTATTTGTGTTTAGATTTTTTTAATTTAAATTTATGCAACTCCAGTAAATTTAGATTTTAAAAAATTTACTGGAGTTGCATAAATACTCCTTTGAATAGTTGGCCAGGCACGGTGCTCACACCTGTAATCCCAGCACTTTGGGAGGCCAAGGTGGGCGGATCACCTGAGGTCAGGAGTTCAAGACCAGTCTGACCAACATGGAGAAACCCCATATCAACTAAAAATGCAAAATTAGTCAAGTGTGGTGGCACATGCCTGTAATCCCAGCTACTCAGGAGGCTGAGGCAGGAGAATTGCTTGAACTCAGGAAGTGGAGGTTGCAGTGAGCCAAGATCATGCCATTGCATTCTAGCCTGGACAACAAGAGTGAAACTCCACCTCAAAGAAAGAGAGAGAGAGAAAGAGAGAGAGAGAGAGAGAGAGGGGAGAGAGAGAGAGAGAGAAAGAAAGAAAGAAAGAAAGAAAGAAAGAAGAAAGAAAGAAAGAAAAGAAAGAAAGAAAGAAAGAAAGAAAGAAAGAAAGAAAGAAAGAAAGAAGAAAGAAAGAAAGAAAAGAAAGAAAGAGAGAGAGAGAGAGAAAAGAAAAGAAAGAAAGAGAGAGAGAAAGAAAAAGAGAGAGAGAGGGAGGGAGGGAGGGAGGAAGGGAGGAAGGAAGGAAGGGAAGAAGGAAGGGTAGAAGCCTCTATTAACAAAAGCAGCCATTCATTCATTCATTCAACAAATATTCCGAGGTGATCACCATGTGCCCTGCACTATCCTAGATAAATTAGGGAAACAGAGCTGGTTAAGATATAGCCTCTGCCTTCCATGCCTCTATACATGCTGTCCTATCGGCCTAAAATATTTTCCAGTTCCCTTCCTGTCCCTCACATCTATTCGGCAAATTCCTAATCCTCATTAAAGACCCAAGTCAGATCTTGGCTTCTGTCCACTGTGGTATGGATTTTATGCATACCTTTATGATTATCCCCATTATAGTTCTTTGGTTATCTGGATTGTAAACTCCTAGAAGGCAAGAATTTTATCTTAATCATTCTCCTTCTCCATTACCTAACACAGTATCTGATGTTGGGTAGGCAATTAGTACATGTTTAATGAACAAATAAATGAATTGTTTCAGCCTAGCAGAGTCAGGGAAGGCTCTGGAGAGCTGAATCTTAAAGGGCCAATTGAGAAATTAAGCACCATCACAGAAACTACATACCTATGTACACATATACCTCATTTTATCGCATTTTGCATTATTGAACCCTTCCTGAGCAGGTGTCAGGATTTGAAGGAGGCTTTATTTCAGAATGGTAGGGCAGGAGCAGAGAGCAGAACAGAGACATAGAGATCCAGGTTAATTATCTAATTAAAATAACCAGAATATGAGATTAGAAAGATGGGGAATTCGGCTGTCAGGAGGCCAGCCTCTTATCCTGTCAGCTAGAGCTCAGGGCTAATTCCGCAGATGATACCAGAGAAATTGCCCAACTACTGTAATGTAGATTATGTGGCTGGCACTAAAGGTTGATATTCTTGCCTAGGGCCACGAAAAACTCCACAGACTCCAAAGAATGTGCCCTGGTTAGAAGTGCACCGGTGGCATCATGCCATTAATATCCCACTGCTCTGGGAGGGGACACACTATCCTGGAAATGGCTGGATGCTCAGGAGGGATGGACAAGGCTGATATCCACTCAGGAGCCAGTTATCTTATGACTGACTTTTGTTTCCTCACTCCTTATTAAAAAAATATTTTTCTCTATCTAAAAAATTATATGTGATCATCGTAGAAAATTTGGGAAGTAAAGAATTACGGGCTGGGTGCAGTGGCTCATGCCTGTAATCTCAACACTTTGGGAGGCCAAAGCAGGCGGATCACTTGAGGTCAGGAGTTCAAGACCAGCCTGGCCAATATTGTGAAACCCCATCTCTACTGAAATTACAAAAATTAGCCGGCTGTGGTTACAAGTGCCTACAATCTCAGCTACTTGGGAGGCTGAGGCAGGAGAATTGTTTGAACCCAGGAGGCAGAGATTACAGTGAGCCAAGATCGCGCCAGTGCACTCCATCCTGGGTGACACAGCGACTGTGTCTCAAAACAAACAAACAAAAAAGAAAATCAGGTTTGTTTTAAAAATAAATATATTAGAGAGTCACATTCGTAACATTGGTAAAATGTTAACATCTTTAATTCTAGGCCTTCAGTTATTTTTGTTTGTTGTTTTTGTGTTTTTCTTTTTTTTTTTTTTTT